TGGTGCCAGTTACCCTAATCTTCAGAGAAAGGCACACTCCTGTGACCCCCCAAAACTCTGCACAGATCTGAGCCTGCAGTCAGGAAGGGACGTCCTCGTCCCTCCCCAACCCGCCCCACACCCCTGTGGTCTCCTGATGTTTGCTCTCCACTCTCCCCTGGTCCCCTTGCACTTGCCAAAGGGCCGCCCAACGATGCCCAGTCTCATGCGGTTACTCCCACTTCTAAAGCTCTCATCAGGATAAATCCTAAGACACTCAGCAAGATCTGCAAGATCCACCTACTCACCCCTGGCAGTACCTCCCGCAAGTCACCTCAGCCCTCTTCTCCAACCCCACAGCCAAGACCTTCCTCCAGAGAACCTAAAGACTCCTGCCTGCCCCCTAATGTGCGGACTCAAGGCTCCCTCCTGTGAAGCAGGTTGATAGCACTTTGTCCATTGGTGAGATTACTGGCACCACCACTTGGATCTACCCTGTTATTCATAGAAGTATAACTTCAATACAAAGGATTTGACTTTAGCATTTGCCAATTTCTGTGGTGTTAATACTGTGCAAATCACAAATACACAGTTTCTGTCCAAATCTAACGGCCAATATCTACAACAGAGAAAGAAGCTATGGTAGAAATCCAAGAAAGGTTAAGTTCATAAAGATGGCAGAAGGCATTCGTGCCTGTAATTCCAGCCATTTGGAAGCTGAGGCAGGAAGATTTTGAGTTTGAGGCTAACTTAGAATGACACAGCAAGACTGACGTTCAAGAATCAAGAAGAAAGAAGCATAGCAGAAGAGATAGATGTTAAATAGGGAAGTCAAAAAACTCTGGGGAGAAAAACAAGAAAAATATTTTTCTGAACGTTACAGATCACACAGCACTTTGAAACAGCATTTACACAGGGAAAGCGAATATGAACTCACAGAACGGAAAAACCAGTTAGCAAAATGTTTGTATCTTAACGCTGCTGGAAACTGGGATGATCTAGGAAAATATATGAAGTTTTGTGACAGCGTAACAAAAAAAAATCACTGCACCAGAGCAAAGGGACTCCATGGGGACTCTCCTGCCGAGACAGAAGAGGGAAGCAGCCAGCCGTGATGCTTTGCTGTCCCCGAGACCCCCTGTGACTGCTCTGCGTACCTCAGAGGCACAGCCAGGAGCCCAGAAACCCACCCCAGCGTGGCCCCTCCCTGCTGCAGGGCAAGGTACTTTCTGTAAGTGAAGTGTTCAAAGGGAGAGTTGTCTATAAAATCAGTTTTATTTTTATGGCTCTGTAAATGTTTATTGAAGCGAGTCCCATCCTGACAACCCTTGGCGGATCCAGCCGCCCTCCTGCATGGAGCTGGGATGGGGCAGGCGGGCGCATCCTGCTCGACTCTGCAGCATCAGCTGATGTTCTCTCTAAGCGTCTGGGGTGATAGCACTTTTACCCCAGCAACGACTGTCACTTCTTCTTAGAGCAAAGTGAAACAAGCAAAATTTAAGCCACAGAGAGGAAAAAATGGAAAGGAAAAACCACGCATGTGTAAAAGCGAACCAAAGATACAGAGCGTCACTTTTCACGGACAGACAAGAAATAGAAGATATTTTTGTCCCTCCCAGAAGTATAACCCAACCATGCAAAATGTGTCATTTCAAAACCCTGTTGAGGGCTAGAGATATATAGCTCAGCAGCTTATGTACCTGCCTGGCTAGCACAAGGTCCCAAGTTCAATCCCTGGTTACAGAAACAAGGAGATTTATGCTTTTGATAGTCAAAATCAGCCAGTTACCCAATTCTAGAAGAACATGATTTTCACTGGTACATAATACCATCAGCAGCACTGCCTGGTATGCTAAAAAGCACAACTTTATGATATAAAACTATAAAAGTAAGGTAGGAACTAAGCCAAAGAGCAGGCAAAAGCCCGATGAGGCTTCAACCAAGGCAGCAGGAGGGGCAGGCGCCAGGCACCGAGGCACTGTGACAGCCTCAAGCAGTACGAGTGAGAGGTCTTGGATTTTAAAACAGCAAAGAGATGAGAAATGTTCAGGAATTAAAATTAACTTGCAAAACTCTTAATGGGGATGAAGACACTGAAACCCAGCAAGGCAGCTGCCTCTTCAGGGGAGGATGGAGGACGCCAGACCTGAAGGACCCCTCCTCGGTCTTGGTTCTGAATCTGCAGGAAAAAATGGGACGCTAGAGGACCCACAGCAAAGAAGCAGGGACCACTACACCAAAGGACGGAAGCGCGCAGCTCTTCCAAATGCTAACCCTAAGCTGAAGCCATCCGGGTTCCAGCACTGACAGCGCTGACTGGCCGGGTCGTGCGTGAGCGTGCCAATCTCCTGAGCTTCCCCAGCGCCGCAAGTCACCTGCAGTCAAGTAACTGAACCACGTAAGCATGGTCACAAACTTTAAAAATCCTAGGAAGTTAAAACCTGGGAGAAATGAATACATGTCTCTTAGGAAGTGAAAAGCCTAGAGCAGTCATGGAAAACCTTTTAGAGCTCTCAGTGACACAAACAGCCTATTGTGGCCGGTCTGCCGGTCTGCCGGTCTGCCTGCCTGCCTGCCTGCCTGCCTGCCTGCCT